GAGAGAGAGAGAGAGAGACAGAGAGAGAGAGGGAGGGAGGGAGGGAGGGAGGGAGGGAGAGAGGGAGGGAGGGAGGGAGGGAGGGAGGGAGGGAGGGAGGGAGAGAGACAGAGCGAGACAGAGAGAGAGAGAGAGGTGTGTATCGGGGTGTGTGTCTGTGTCTCTGTCTTTGTGCATGTATATTTGCTGTGACCAGTACCCAGTGCAACTCTACGGCTTGCAGGTGGCTGGCTCGTTTGCGCTAGTGGTCAGCAGATGGCGCTGCAGGCCTGGCCCACAAAAGACGCTCCAGACGCGGAACCCGGAAGCATCGGCCGGAGGGGGCGGGCCCAGGGCGCACGAGTCCGTGTGTTGGGAAGGGTTAGAGTCCCGCATCCCGTCCTGCATCCTCTTCCCGCCCCCTCGTCCCGCGCTGCCACGCCAGGACCTTTTCCTTAAGTAGAACTGAGGAATGCCCAGAGTGGGGGACTCAGCGGGCGCCCACGTGACAGACAGCCCCTAGGGGTCCTGGGTTAGCAGGGAATATGGGCATGCTCAGGGCAGGGCTGTGCCCGGGCCTCACCGAGGAGATCGTCCAGCTTCTGAGGGGCCGAAAGATCAAAACAGGTGACCTCATGGGCACAACCCCGGGGGTTGGCGCCGTGGTCTTAGTACACGTACGGGGGCCTTTTGCTCTAACAGGAGGGCCGCACTCCTCTGACTCCCTGGAGACCCTGGGTTCGTAGCAGTCGAGGCCGAGGATTTTTACTGAGTGCTGGGCCCCTTACATCAGGGCCTGCGTGCTCGAGATAGGAAGTAGAATAAGACCTTAATCCCATTTCACAACAGAAAAAGGCAGACATGGCAAGGCTAAGCCATTCCTGTTGCCAACCAGTTGCACCTGCTCTCTTTCCAGTGGCCGACCTGGCAGCTGCAGACTTGGAGGAGGTAGCGCAGAAGTGTAGTTTGTCGTACAAGGTGAGCTCGCAATCTCCAAACTCCACTCCAACCTGTCTTCCAGAGCTACTCCCCCACGCTGCAGAATCAGAGTTCCTAGGAATTGATATAGGGGGGGCGCTAGACCTAGAGTGCTCTGCGGGGCAGCTGCTCTTAGGGCAGTCTGGCCGCTCTGGAGCCTGAGTGTCCCGCCCTTTTGGCAGGCCCTGGTTGCCCTGAGGAGGGTGTTGCTGGCGCAGTTCTCGGCTTTCCCCATAAATGGCGCAGATCTCTATGAAGAACTGAAGACTTCCACTGCCATCCTGTCCACCGGCATCGGAAGGTTTGTATTCGAACCTGGACAAGGTGAAAGCAGAGCCTCATGCTGAGGCTACAGGGGATAGGGCTGGGGAGGGCAGTCTGGAGCTGGGGAAGTAATTATTTGCTGGGATAGAGATATCCTGAGCATTGAGAGCCGTTTAGCAGCATCCCGGGTCTCTCTCTGCCCACCAGATGCCAAGATGCCCCCAGTAATAACAATCAGAAGTTGTCTCCAGATATGACTCGGTATCTCCAACAAGCTAACTTTTCTCAGTGAAAAACCACTGCCCTATAACCTAAGATGTCATTAGTACCCTGTTATTTGTAGAGTCCATGATACTTAAGAATAAAGCAAGTGAGATCCGGGGAAGGATTGAGTTCCTGAGAGTCTGCACTTTTGCGCTGACACTAGGCCAGTGGTTTTCAACCTTCCTAATGCTGTGACTCTATAATACAGTTCCTCATGTTGTCATGACCCCCCAACCATAAAATTATTGCTTTGCTACTTCATGACTGTAATTTTGCTACTGTTGTAAATCATAGTGTAAATATCTAATAAGCAAGATAGTCAGATTGGCCACCCCTGTGAAAGGGTTGTGCAATTGTCAAAGGGGTTGTGACCCCACTGGTTGAGAACTGCTGCCCAAGGTTATAGATGTTAGAAGTTATTGACCTCCCTTGTGGTTAGCCTAAGAAAGGGGCCAGCAGAGGTGAGCCCAGGGTTAGCTATTCCAGAATCTGTTGCCTTTGCCATCTGAGGCAGCAGCGGGGAATGGGCATACTCTCTGAAAAGAGCAGTTACATTGTGCCCTGTTGTTTGGGTTGGGAAAGAATTGGAAGACAACTGGCATTTTCTGGCCAAGCAAGTCTGACCTCTCTCCCGGCCTATTTGTGCGGAGTTTGATGAATAACGCTGCCATCATAAAGGTCTTTGGATTGGTCTGGCCCTTGCTGTTTCCATAACACATTCTCTTGGCAAGGTCTGCACAGTCTGGTGCTTGCTCTCGCTGGTTGGGGGTCTGTGTTTGTAATCCATCAAACATTGGCTGAGTGCCTACTGGGTGCCAGACACATGCAGATGCTTTCTGTAGGATTGGGGCTCAGTATCTTAATTCCAGCTGACTGTTCTGAGGTATACTTGGAGGTGAGAGGCCACTGTGAAAGCATTTGTAAGCTATGGGGCATAGCTGTGCAGGGCAGACAGGCCAGCCAGGAGAGGCCAAGCAGGGATCTAGTGCTGCCGGTTTAGGTTGTGTAAATCTGATCCAGGGTTTGTGACCATGGGAAGACATGTTGAAGGAGAGATGTGAGAAGAGACCATGAGATAGGGTGTAGACTTGAAGACTCAAAGGAGGTGGTTTGCTGGGCTGAAGGGTTGGCTCAGTGGTTAAGAGCACTGGACCACTTTCACAGAGGTCCTGAGTTCAGTCCCCAGCAACCACATGGTGGCTCACAACCATCTGTAATGGGATCCGATGCCCTCTTCTGGTGTGTCTGAAGAGAGTGACAATGTATTCATATACGTTCGTTAAAAATCTTAAAGAAAAACTGTGGTTTGCTAGTTTTAGACTTCTCTCCAGTGGGCTGTGCCTACCTAGTGAATATAACCTTTGAAACCTTGGAGGTAAGGCTGTAGGCAAAGTTAGTGAAACTTGTGATTAGCACACATTAAACCTGTTAAACAGGGTTGTTTGTTGTGGGCCTTCTCTGAGGGCTGAGGTACAGTGTAAGTCTTTGCAGGGCACACACCGTGGGGAATGCCATAGATGGGGGCATCAGACAATCTAGAGCTTTTATCTGTTCATCTCTGTTGAAGGAAGGGTTTCAGGAAACATGAGGCAAGGTGTCTGAATGATCGACTGAAGAATAACTAACGGGAAGTTCAGTGGGGAAGGTGGAGGGAAATCCCAGAAACCTCTGCCTTCTGGGCAGTCCTGGTTGGAGTCCTGCTGCATGTTGATATGCTCAGAGGTAATTGGGGTTGTCTGAGGTTGGGGGCCCTGCTCCAATAGGAGTAGTCAGGGATGAAAATGCAAGTGAAAGTTGTTTAACAGACAGATTTGGAAGTACCTTATGGAGGTGGGGCCTCGCAGCCCAGTATGTGGTTGATTTTTTTTTTTTTAAGATTTTATTTTGCACCGGGCGGTGGTGGCACGCGCCTTTAATCCCAGCACTTGGGAGGCAGAGGCAGGCGGATTTCTGAGTTTGAGACCAGCCTGGTCTACAGAGTGAGTTCCAGGACAGCCCGGGCTATACAGAGAAACCCTGTCTTGAAAAAAAAAAAAAAGATTTTATTTTGCTCTTGCTCTCTTGCTTTCTCTTGCTTTCCCTTCCCCCCTCTCTCCCTATTCCCTTCCCCGCTCTCTTCTCCATGTGCTAATGGCCAGCCTTTACTCCTTTATTCCTCTGCTTCTCTACTCTTTCCCTCTCTGTCTTTTTCTGCCTCTACTATCCTCTTAACTCCCCTCTCCATGCCCTGAATAAACTCTATTCTATACTAAAAAAAAAAAAAAAAAAGATTTTATTTTAGCTGAACATGATGGGGCACGCCTTCAATCCCAGCACTCAGAAGTCAGGTAGATCTCTGTGAGTTCAAGGCCAACCTGGTATTAGGAACTAAACTGAAGTCTTCTTCAAGAGTAGCAAGCAGTCTTAGCTGCTGAACCATCTCCAGCCCACCCTCTGTGTGATGGGCTCTCTGTCTGTTTGTTTGTTTGTTTGTTTGTTTTCAAGGCAGAGTATCTCTGTGTAGCCCTGGCTGTCCTGGAACTCACTCTGTAGACCAGGATGACCTGAAACTCAGAAATCCGCCTGCCTCTGCCTCCCATGTGCTAGGATTAAAGGCGTTCACCACCACAACCTATCATGCAATGGGTTCTTAACTAGAGTGACCAAGCCAGCTCAGTCAGTCAATAGGTTCTCCAGCCCAGGAATGAGGATTAAAAAGAAAAAAGACAACATTGCAGCATGACCCCAGCCAATTCTGAGACTGAAGGCGGGTTTATTTTTTCTGCAATTTGCTTTTGTACCATTTTAATTACATGCAAGTATTTAGGTCAGTTCTAGGTTGAGGAACTAGCAATACAATAAATGCAAATAGTCAAGAAACAAGCAAGACAATAAGCAAAGTCCTGTAATCACTCCTGTGATCAGTGTTTCTAAGGGCTTATCAGGATGACCAAAATATTTGAGCCTACTTCCCTGTCCTAGCCCAAAGTCATATTCATGCCCGAAGCCTACTTCTTTCTAGCCTAAGATTTAGATTACTGACTGAAATTGCTTCCCTGTTTTAGCCTAAAATTAGATTCCTGCCTGAACTTACTTCCTTGTCCTTGTCCAATGTCAGATTCCTGCCAAGCAGCTCCAAAAGTTCACCACACTAGAGTCAAAACCAGGGACTCAGTCTTCCCTATGACTATTTGGGAACTGTAAAAAAAAAAAAAAAAAAGACTCACTTTTGGGTTCTGCTGATAGAACTTTTATTTAATCAGTCAAAGACAGTGTTTCCCAAATTTGTCTGCAGATTGGAGTCACCAAGGAAGGGTTACAAGCAGTCTTTTGACGTTTTTTTGATGTTCTTGATGACTCCAGACAATTGCTGATAGAAGCTACTTTTTAAAATCTCCCATGGAAGCTGGGTGCAGGGGTGGGGGGTGGGGTGGGGGTGTGTGCCTAGTCCCAGCTGCTAAGTGGCTGAGATAGGACAACCATCTGATACCACGAGTCCAAGGTCAGCCTGAGTTAAGACCTCATGTCACAAAAAAAAAGAAAAGAGAGGAAAAAAAAAACCAGAAAGACCTTGTAATGTGCAGGGAGAATTGATTCTCAAACTTGAGCGTATATCCAAATCACAGAGAATTCATTCTTTCTCTGTCTCTCCCTGACTCTCCCCCCCCCCCCTGTCTTTCTCTCTCTGTGCGCATGTGTACCTGTACACGTGGATGCCAGAGGACAACAGATGTTATTCCTTAGGGACCATCCACCTTGTTTATTTTATATTTTTCATTTTCATGTGTATGAGTATTTTGGCTGCATATATATCTGTGTACCGCATTCATTCCTGGTGCCCTTGGAAGTCAGAAGAGAGTATCAGGCCTCCCTATAACTGGAGTTACAGATGGTTATAAACTGCAGTGTGGGTGCTGGAAATTGAACCTTGGTCCTCTGTAAGAGCAGCCAGTGCTCTTGTCCCCTGAACCATCTCTCTAGTTTCCATATGTTGATTTTGATGCAGGGCCTGGAACTAGTTAACTAGCTTCAGTTAGCTGGCCAGTGAGCCTCAGGGAATCCCCTGCCTCAGCCTTCTCACCACTGGAATTAGAAATGCATACCACCACCTTTAACCCTAGCGCTGGGGAGGCAGAGGCAGGCGGATCTTTGAGTTTGAGGCTAGCCTGGTCTACAGAGTGAGTTCCAAGAACTGCACAGAGAAACTCCATCCCGAAAGACCAAAAATTAAAATAGAATAAAATAAAAATAAAAAAGTAAATGTACAGCACCACAGCTGGCTTTTTTTCCTCTTTTAAAATTTACTTTCGTTTAGTTAGCATGTATATGTATCTGTGTGTGAGTGTGTGCACATTTGCAGGGGCCTGGAGAGACTAGAGGTAACAGATGCTCTGGGTAGTTGTGAGCCAACTGCTCAGCCTCCTCTCCAGCTCCTCACACTCAGCTTTTACGCAGGTTTTGGGGACCAAGCTAAGGTCCCCATGCTTGCAAGACAAGCGCTGTTATTGGCTGAGCTGTTATGTCCGCTCTCACCTCAATGGAGTTCTTAAACTTCCAGAGCAGGATCTAACTCTAGAACCTCTGACCATGTTGTTGATGCGGTTGATCTGGGAGAACAGGCTGAGAGGAGCTGCTGTGATGAACAGGGCTTCCCAAGTCTCCAGGAGAATGGGATTCAAGAGAGACTGAGGCTGGAGACCTACTAAGTAGATGCTTATTAAACAGACACAAACTGTACTGTGCTCCAAAATGCCACAGGGTGGTGTAAGAACCAAAGCATGTTGACTGGCGGGGAGCCTGTGGCTCCTGAGTTAAAATAGGTGGAGTAGTGACTGGTTGCTGTTTGCCATCTGCTGGTAGGTCGTGGTTGGTCATCAGGAACCTCTTCAGAGGCCTACAGTCTGTGGTTGGTAATGCTGAGTAAGGATAGGCGGGGCATGGTCAGGCATTGGTCCAGGCTGGGATACAGAAACTAAAGCTCATGTCCTGGGCAGAATATGGAGGCAGTAACCTGTGTCATGGTGGTGGTTCGGGGGCAGAACTGGGCTTAGGAAGTGGCCATGTTTTGAGGTTCATCTCAAAGCTTCCGCAGCTAGAGTTTTGACAGTCAGACCATTGTCCTTCTCTTCAGTAACATTTACTGTGTGCCTTCAGGGGCTTTTTGGCTTTGTGCTAATACCGGAGATATAACAGGGATAAAGGCCCCAGAGTGTTCCTACCAGATGAGGGAGGCAGGCAAAAACAGGCAAATAAAAAATAATTACAAACTCCCAGAACTAATAAGTGAGTTTAGCAAGGTCTGGGGATACAAGATCAACACATAAAAATCAATTGCATTTCTCTGAGTTCACGATGAACATACAAGAACTGGAATTAGAAACGCAGCGCCATTTGCTGCTGCGTCTAAGAAAATGAAATACTTGGGTCTAAATCTGACAAAGCCCGTGTAGAATTTGTATGCTGAAAATTAGAAATGCTGATGAAGAAGATCAAAGGTGCCCCCAATAAATGCTGAGACATTCTGTGTTCGTGGGTTACAAGACTCCACATTAGCGAATGCCAACTTTCCCCAACCTTTCTTTTTTTTCCTTGATACGAGAGGTTTTGCATATGGTATGCAAACACTCTACCATTACTATTAAGCTGCCTCTCCATAAACAAAAAACACCCAACCATATATGTACATACGTGTACACACACGCGCGCACACACACGCACGCACGCACGCACGCACGCACGGATGGAGCGGAGTTAGGGAGGTAGGTATATGGTCCAGGCTGCAACACAGAAAATTCAGCCCCAGTCCTGGGCAGAGCATGCATACATACATACATACATACATACGTATGTATGTTTTTTGTTTATTTGTTTACATACATACATACATACATGTATATGTGTATTATATATATGTGGGGGTTTTTTGTTTTGTTGTTGTTTGGTTTTTTGAGCCAGGGTCTCATTACATCGCTGTTGACTTCATCTCCCTGATAGTGGGATCACAGGCATGTGTTACAGTGCTTGGTTTACTTCTCAAATTTATCTGCATGTTTAATGCAGTTTCTTCTCTCTTCTCTTTGCCCATCCCCCATTCTCTCTTCTGCCATCAGCCTGGACAAACTACTTGATGCTGGCCTCTATACTGGGGAGGTAACTGAAATTGTGGGTGGCCCAGGGAGCGGCAAAACCCAGGTACCTATGGGTCCAACAGTCAGGGGAGGGTTGGGGGAGGTGGGTGCATGGTCCTGGATTCCCAGAGGGGCTGCTTGCAGGTGTCTTTGTGGGTTTCAAGGTCAGAACAGACCAGATGGGTGCTGAGAATGGATATGACTTTGGCAAGTGTTTGCTGTTAGACTCTGGGCAGGGTGTGATGGGGAGCTGCCTGGTGGCACTCCCTGTTCTCCAAAGGTTTAGGTTTAACCAGCAGTCCATCTTGTCTCTGAAGGTGTGTCTCTGTGTGGCTGCAAATGTGGCCCACAGCCTGCAGCAGAACGTACTGTATGTGGATTCCAATGGAGGAATGACAGCGTCCCGCCTCCTCCAGCTACTACAGGCTAGAACCCAAGATGAGGAGAAACAGGTAGGGGCCAAGTGGCTGGGGTCCTAGAAAACCCTGATGCTAGGAGACCTCATGACTGTACATTGTAAGGGTTTACACGTCTGTGGAAATCATCATTTTCACTTTGAACCTGGAGAGTCTTCTGCATCCCTAAAGCTGCTCATATTGATGTCACCGCCCCACCTTGGCTGCCACCCACACGGACTCTCCAGGAACTTTAAGGCCTTGCTTACTGTATACCAGAGCAAGCAAACACCTAGCATCCGTGTTTTCAGCCCATTTCTTGTGTATGGCAGGCATCACTAATCAATCATATCCGTCCTTCCTGCTGAATTCTGAATGTCTTACAGCTCAGCACTCAGGTAGTCACCACTGTGAGATCCAGCCCATTAGGCAAAATCCATTTGCCATTTTGCCTGCCAGAGCTGTGTCTAAGTGCCTCTTTGTCCTTCCAGCTTTATGATTACTCTTTATGGCTTTCCTGGATCCTCTCTCCAAGTCTCTGCTTCTCTTTCTCACCCCGTCAGGCAAGTGCTCTCCAGAGGATACAGGTGGTGCATTCATTTGACATCTTCCAGATGCTAGGCATGCTGCAGGACCTCCGGGGCACCATGGCCCAGCAGGTGAGCTTGCTGATCTGCCTGTTTCTGCTTTCCCCAGCTGGCCAGGTGTTGCCTGTATGCGGGCAGGTGTCTGACCACAGACTATATTCGGTATGCATGTGTCCACTGAGTGTAACATCTCCAGCTGTGTTTGCACGTGCATGCCCCTAACCCCCAGGCGGAATTCCTCGGTGCTTAATTCACACGCTTCCTTGTTTACAGGCTCGCCAGCCCTGGACAACAGTGAGCTCCTTGAGTCCAGGGTTATATTTTCTTCACTTCTGTGTTACTCACTGAAATCAATTAGAAAAACTTTTGTGCCAGGTGTCCTGTCGAATGCCTTTGATCCCAGTGCCCAGGAGGTGGAGGCAGGTGGATCTCTGTGAGTTCAAGACCAGCCTGGTCTACAGAGTGAGTTCCAACACAGCCAAGGACTACATAGAGAGACCGTGTCTCAAAACCAACCAACCAAACAAACAAACAAACAAACAAACAAAAAATCCCACAAATGTTCTCTTTATAGATCTCTTGAACCAGGGGCTGGGCTCATAGTCACCGATGTTGGGAGATTTCTACCTAGTACCTCAACATGTTCGGACTAATGTTTAGAAGGAAAGGAGAAGGAGATTTTAATGGCATTTGGTTGGTTTGTTGTTGTTTTAATTTAAAAATTGTTCTAAGATTTTAAAATTGTATTCTATGTGTATGAATGTTTATGCCTGGTGTGCTTGGTTGTTCCCTTGGAGACAAGAAGAGGACATTTGACTGCACTGGAACTGGAGTTACACAAGCTTGTGAGCTGTCATGCGGGTGCTGAAAATCAAACTGAGGTTCTCCAAGAGCAGCAAAGGACTTGCTGTGCCATTTAGCAGGGCAGGGGCAATGGGGGCCTAAGCTGGTTGGTTTTACCTTCTCCCATTTCTGCCGTCCTCCCTTTGACACATGGGTAATGGGCTAAGACCTGGAGGCTGGATGATTGACACAGTCCCAGGCTGGAATTAAGGCACACAAAAGGCAGAACAGAAATGCAAGTAGCCAATGCTTTGGCCAGTGGACGGTGGAAACCACACATAGCAGCAGAGTCAGGATCTGAGAAGTAAGGGAGTGTGTAAAGGAAGTGTGGAAGCTACCATGGTAGCTATGGGCGAGGAGGACTTAGGAGGTAAGATCTAGGGATGGAAATACGAAGAAGTCTATAGGGTTAAGGGTGTAGCTCAGGGGTAGAATGCTGGCCAGCATGCCCCAGGCCCTGGGCTCCTTAGTCGAGAGCTCACTCATCAGCAAATGCAGCTTTGGAGCTTGAAGTGGAAGCAAGCAGCACTGAGGGAATTCAGAAGAGAAGGGGATAACAGTACCCCAGGTGGAGGAGATTGCCACTGGACTCTGCATAGGGATTCCTGAATGAGTGTTTGTGGTGTCCTATGGCTTAAACCCTCTCTGTCTACTAGATCTACTGGAGTCTGTTAGATTTATGAAGGGGGGGGGGCGGGGAGGCCTTTCTTTTTTTTTTTTCCTGAGAGTTAACCTTTTTGTTTTGTTTTTTGTTTGTTTTGTTTTGGTTATTGTTGTTGTCATTTCTTGTTTTGTTTTGTTTTGTTTTGTTTTGTTTTGTTTTGTTTTGTTTTTGAGACAGTTTCTCAGTATAGTCCTGGCTGTCCTGGAACTCATAGACATCTGCCTACCTCTGCCTCCTAAGTGCTGGGATTAAAGGCGTGTACCACCACCACCACCCAGCCTAAACTTTTGTGTGTGTGTGTGTGTGTGTGTGTGTGTGTGTGTGTGTGTGTGTCTGTGTGTCTGTCAGAGAAGCCAAATCTCTTGGGTTGGTTCTCTCCTTCCACCTTCCCTTGGGTTCTAGGAATCACACCCAGGTTATCAGGCTGTGCTGTAATTGCCCACATCTTCGGAGCCATCCCACTGGCCTCTACCTTCTAACTGAGGTTTGTGCCCTGGGCGGGCCCTAGAGATCATTTGTTTGTGATACCTGCTTTTCCCCCATTCCTTCAGGCGGCAGTTTCTTCAGGTACTGTGAAGGTTGTGATTGTGGATTCTGTCACTGCAGTTGTCGCCCCACTTCTGGGAGGTCAGCAGAGAGAAGGTGAGGAATGGAAGGAGAGCCTGGGGACAAGGTGGGGACTTCACCTCCCAGCCCTGTCCTTTGGCCCTCACTGCCCCTCCTTGTCTGCTCCTTACCCCAGGCCTGGCCTTGATGATGCAGCTGGCCCGAGAGCTCAAGATCCTGGCCCGGGAGCTGGGTGTGGCAGTGGTGGTAATTTCTAGCTCTCTGTTTCTCTTAGATGTTAGTTTGGAACTTAATAGCGCTTAAGAGGACAGAACACAGAACCCAGCTCCTACAGGTCAGAAAGGTGTTACTAACTTGCCTTATGGTGTGTGTGTGTGTGTGTGTGTGTGTGTGTGTGTGTGTATGTGTGTATTTGGCTTTTTGAAACAGGGTTTCTTTGTATAGCTCTGGCTGTCTTGGAACTTGCTCTGTAGAACAGGCTGGCCTGGAACTCAGAGATATGCCTGCCTCTGACTCCCAAGTGCTAGAATTAAAGGCATGACCACTACCAGCTTTGAAAAAAAAAAAAAGTTTTAAAAGGAAATTTGGTGGCCCCAACCACTTGTAACTCCAGCTCCAAGAGACCCAATGCCCTCTTCTCCTTTCCACAGGCACCTGTACTCACAAACACATACTCAAATGCAAACATATGTATATACATATAATTAAAACTAATGAAAACCTTTTTGAGACAGGGTTTCTCTACATAACTCTGATTGCCCTGGAACTCCCTCTATAGACCAGGCTGGCCTTGAACTCACAGAGATCTACCTGTTTCTTCCTCCTGGGTGCTGGAATTAAAGGAGTGTAATTATTGAGTTGGAGCTACCTATACTTTAGCCTCGATGTTCTTGACACAGTGTCTTACTAGGCTTTCAGGCTAGCCTCAAACTCCTAGACTGCTCCTGAGGGATTGGGTAGGACTATAGTCGCACACCTCCACACACAACTACATGTACTTTACATTGTCTAGCTCGCCCAATTTTGAGGAAATATTATACTAATTTGTGTACCTGCAGGCATTGTGAAAGGACCTGTTTCCTGCTCTTTCAGATGGGTCCTGGGCCTGCATTTACTGGCTTCTGGTGTTTGTGGGTACTTAGGGGTCAGTCTCTGGCATAAAGAGTATAGAAGGAACCATAGTCGCTATTCTCAGGAGCTGTGGTCTGGGTGCCTCTGTGGCTGTGGTCTGCTTAAGTCCCAGATTGGGACTCCTCATCAAACTTTCTCTCTTCCACACACACAAAGGGCTGGCTACACCGTTCTCAGGATGCCAGTGAAAGGCACAAGTACAGTACTGGCTCTACTTTAGGAAAGAGTAAATAAAGGTACCCAATGTCCCATATTTGATTGATGTCAGGCGTAAAGCACTGAGGCTTTGTGGAAAGCTGGGTACAAGTCGGGAAACCTAAGTTGTAGGTCTAGATTCAGCTAGCACCACGGAGAGTCATAAATCAGACTCCCTGTCTGTAAAAGGAAGCTCTCCGTATCTGCAGGTGACCAATCACTTGACTCGAGACAGGGATGGTAGAAGATTCAAACCTGCCCTTGGACGCTCCTGGAGCTTTGTGCCCAGTACCCGGATTCTCCTGGATGTCATAGAGGGGGCTGGAACATTAGGCAGCAGCCAACGCACAGTATGTCTGACCAAGTCTCCCCGCCAGGTGAGCCAACCCAGGGGATGTCAGGGATCTTGGGCCCTGGAGAGAGTGGTTTCCATGCCCATGTGTATCTCATTGAAGGATTCTTTGATGCTAAAACCCTGAAACAAAAGCCAACCACCTAGATTGCTTGATTCTATCTACTCCTCTCCCATCTCTTCTTCTAGCCAACGGGTCTGCAGGAGATAATAGACATTGGGACTTTGGAGACTGAGGAGCAGAGCCCAGAACTGCCTGGCAAACAGACGTGACACTGTTGACTGGGAAAAGGACAGCCTCAAGGCCCTCACAGCTTTCCTTCCTGGGCAGCTGCTGTCCACTGCCACATGGGACATCAGAGGACAAACCTCAGTTCCCCCGGCTTCACTGTGTGGGATCCCATGGCACCATTGGCCAGAAGATGCTGCAGTAGGAGGGACCTAGAAGTCCATCAGGGTCTCAAATGTTTCCAGTATGGGTTGAGGTCCACCTAGCTTGGGGCCTCACTGAAGAAACACAGTAGTACCTGCGTGAATAGTTTCCCGGTCCTGTGTGTCACCATTGGCTCCTAACCCATCCCTCACACAATAACTGAGCAGGAAGCCTTTGCTTCCCCATCCCCCATTTATTTTGGCCTCTGTTTTCCCCATCTGTGAGATGGCACTTCCTTCGTCTGCAAGTTACTCAGTAGAAACAACCTCAGAAATGTAAACGTCTTTATGTATGTCCTACTCTTAAATATATATAAACAAGGAGGCCCTCTGAGCCCTGGAGCCACCTGATTTCCCCGCAAGAAGGTTGTTTTTCAGTTCGTGCAGTGGGACTCCCAGAGAATGAGAGTGCTCCCTTCCCTGCTTGCTTACTGGGTTTCACACACCTGCATACCTCACCCTGATAGGTGAGAACATAGCTCACTGCTGTCCCAGGGATATAATTTACTAGGGAGGAAGGATATGACCTGCTCCCAGTGAACCAGACACTTGTTTCATATGCATGGTGCCCTGTGGGGTGCTTCCTCAGTATAGAGTAACCAGAGGTGCTGAACCGTGGCCTAACCCATAAACAGACACAGGAGAATTTGCACAGTAAATAGAGCCAGCTGGGAAAATTGATGCCGGCGTAAATAATACATGGCAAATCTAGTCTTTTATACAGAAATTCATTGCTGGTGGCGCTAAGATGCAGTATAATTACACCTCTCGTCCTGCCAGCTGTACCACAGCCTCGTGTCTTAGTGAATAAAATAACCCCCTGTCTGTTACCAATACTGTGGCCATCCATCTGAGAGTCGTAACTCTGGCTGAAAGGGGAGGATGGTACCAGGAAATGGAAAATAAAAGGCAGAGAGAAATGATCTGGATTGTTTATGGACCACAGTTTTTATAGGAAGGTCATGCTTGGTTAGAGAGCCTGTTGTATAATTACTTGTGTCTTAGCTGAAGGAAAGAGGGAACACAGTTACAAGATCTGATATTTAGGCCCAGTGAGATGCCTCAGCAAATAAAGATGCTTGCCGCCAAGCCTGACAACCCGAGTTCAATCCCTGGCTGGGTCCTCCATAATGGAAAGAGAGATGTGACTCTTGCAAGTTGTCCTCTGACTTCCATACATCCTGTGACCTATCTATACCCCCTCACACCTGATAATAAAACCGTAGCAATTAAAAAATAAAATAAGATGTTTACAGCTGATGGGCATAGCGGAGATTGAAATAGGTCTGAAGGATGGGGGATGAATGACAAAGGGGCATAGGGTGTCTGCACGAACGACAAATGTGGGTGAACTTAAACTCTCACACTGTCTTCCATAGAAGACCCCAAGAGACACCAGCCTCTGGTGTCTACACCATGGCTGGTTGGCTGGCAGGTTGGTTCTTGCAACCCTGGTGAGAGGCCATACATTAAACCAGGAGAAGCAGATACTGGCCACTCCTGATGCTCTTTGGGCATCGACACCTCATAGCAGATAGTACCAATTAGTCAAAGCATGCTCATGGAATGTTTCACAGTTTCTTAATATGGCTTTGCAGGGAACCACTACGAGTTAGGGGCCTTGGTATTCAAAGAGCCTGGTTGCTTGCTCTGTCCTGAGTGGATCTGTCCTGTGTCCTGCCTGTGATGATTTCAAGTGCTTCATACATGACTGAGAACTGTAGAACAACGGTGCAGTATGGGAGACCCATAAGGATCATTGAGCCTGGATTGTCTCCACTACCGCCCCGCAGTGGGATGACTCAAATCCAGGGCCTTCCATGTGCTAGCCAAAGCTTTCACCACTGAGATGCACACCCAGCTCTCATCTCATTTTGTTAAGAGAAAGAACTCAAGGCATTACATGTGACAGTTCTGGGGGCAGAACTAAAGGCCTTCTGTGTCTGTTCTTCTCTTGTTCTTTCTGCGTTTGTGGGCGCTTGTGAATGAATAGCTTTAATGCATTTTAGAGATATTAGAGGGTGGCCTGGGGGTATACAACAGTGGTAGAATGCTTGCCTAGCACAGGCAAGGCTCTAGATTTGATCCTCAAAACTAGGAAAAATTAAGAGAGCGATGTAGGATTGTTTCTCTCTTGATGTGGATAGCCATTAGGTCCCCACAGACTTTTGTCTTCTTTCACCGTGATACAAGGAGGTCTATTGTATGTCTATTTGAAATTAGACAAAATTAATGTTAAATACCTAGTGTACAATAAATAGCACTTGATGATCTCAAGCCAGGAAGCTGAGCTTTCCTGACAGGATAAAAAAAAAAAATCCATGTATTATTGAGGCTGTTTTCCATAGCAAGTAACAAAACTCCACTTAGGCATCAATGATAAGGAAGGTTACTACTCATCCCTGAGAATGTGGTGCCAAGGCCGATCGATGCAATGGCCCAATGTGGAGAAGCAGTGGGCTTTTCCATCTCTGCCCTCTCTTCTCTGTTGGTTTTGTCTTCAAGTTTGTTGCCTTCCTTAAAATCTGGCTGTAGCCACTCTAAACATTAGGCCATATATGACATTATCTACAGGCAGGGAAAGGATCGTCTCCTTGTGTCCTTTGAAGAACAAGGAAAACTCAGAGCTTCCTAATGACTGTATCCCATTGGTGCAGAACTGCCTCGAGTGGTGAGTGTGTCTAGTTCAGTACTGGAAAAGGAAATGGTGCCTGTCTTAGTTAAGGTTTGTGTTGCTGTGAAGAGACACATAACCAAGCCAGCTCTTATAAAGGACAACATTTAATTGGGGTTGGCTTACAGTTTAAGAGGTTCAGCCCAATATCATCATGCTAGGAAGAATGTCAAGGTGCGGGTAGACACGGTACTGGAGGAGCAGTTCTGATCCTAGGGCAGCCAGTAGGAGGGTCTCTTTACTGCACTGGGTGGAACTTGAGCATAGAATCTCAAAGCCCACCCCAACAGTAACACTCTTCCTTCAATAGGGCCACACCTATTCCAACAAGGCCACACCTCCTAATAGTGTTACTCCTTGTGGGCCAGGCATTCAAACACTGGTGGCCGAACTCGAGGTGGTTCTGCACCAATGGGATACAGTCATTAGGAAGCTCTGAGTTTTCCTTGTTCTTCCAAGAACACAAGGAGAGTATCCCTTCCCTGCCCAGAGATATTGGCATTATATGGCCTAATGTTTAGAGTGACTACAGCCAGGTTTTGATGAAGGCAACAAGCTTGAAGACAAAACCAACAGAGAAGAGAGGGCAGAGATGGAAAAGCCCACAACTTCTCCACATTCAAACTACCACAGTGCCTCAGTGGTAGTCTTAGACAAACGGCCATGGAGTTGGGGCTCAGGCTCAGCCTTTTTTGAGGTACCTGCTGTGGTCCTAGGGATGCTAGACTGTGTGGAGGAATTAGATGGTGGGTGGGTTTGTGTGTGTGCTCAGTGCCTCAGCACAGGACTCACTGTGGGCTTAGGACAAGCTGAGTGGTGCTGGGAATCTCTTCATTTTACAGACTAAATGGAGCTCGTTGGGGTTTTAGGACATGTATCTGTTAAACGACAGCATGAGAGTCTAAACTTGAATCCTAATCAATGCCAGACTTTCTTTTCTCAACCTCTTGCTGCTTTCAGCTGAAAATATGTAAATATTTTAACAAAATTCTTTTTCATATTTTGCCCCAACAGCGGAGGCTGCATATCTCAACCCTCTTTCAGCTGAGCTCACCATAAAAAGCTAGATCAGAGATCCGCTTTATCAGCTTCTCCTGGTTTCCCCCAGGGAAGAGAGAATGACAAATACTTCAGAGAAGGCAGATAGCATGTGTGTGAAAGAGAGCTGAAGGGTTAGAGGGGAAGAAAGCTGAATGAAAAACAGCAGGCTCTGCGCATGCCTGAGAAGAGAGCCAGGAGGAGATAAGGGGATTTAGATGCACGAAGAGCCACTAGGCTTTCACTATATTCTGGCTTGGAGGTGTCTGGGTAGAGTTTCAGCTCGCCAGTTCTTTGTTGGTGATGTGTATGTACAGCTGAAATTATAAAATAATATGTATATTTCTATATTACTAGTATGTGTGTATACATTATACACCACATTGTGGTGGTTTGAATTAGAACGGCCCCCATAGGCTCGGATGTTTGGTTAGTCATTAGGGAGTGATGCTTCTTGAGAAGGATTAGGAGGTGTGGTGTTGGAGGGTGTGTGTCACTGGGGGTAGGCTTTGAAGTTTCAAAAGCCCAAGCCAGGCCCAGTTTCTCTCTTGTCTTGCTCCCTGTGGTTCCAGATGTAGAACTCTCACCTACTTCTCTAGCACCATGTCTGCCTGTGTGCTGCCATGCTTCCCACCGTGAGGATAATGGACTAAACCTCTGAAACATTAAGCCAGCCCCAATTAACTGTCTTCTAAGAGTCAGCTTGATCATAGTGTCTCTTCCCAGCAATAGAACAGAGACCAAGACATACATATGTACATACACACACACACACACACACATGACTTTTTATTTTTCTTTTTTGGAGGAAAAGTGTCTGACCCAGTGAGATCTTGAACCTTTGGTTGATTCTCCTGCTTTCCCCTCCAGGGTGCTGGGATTATATAGGTCTGTGTCAACTCAACTGGCTTTGTTTGTTGGCTTGCTTGCTTTATTCATTTTATTGTCTAAAAAAATTATTTATTTTATGTATATGAATGTTTTGCCTATATGTAGATATGTGCACTGTGTTTGTGCCTGGTGCTTATAGAGGCCAGAGGAAAGTGATGGATCCCCTGGAACTGGAGTTAGAGGTAGTTGTGAGCCACTATATAGGTGCTGGAAACTAAACCCAGATTCTCTGCAAGGTCAACAAGTGCTCTTAATTGCTAAGCCATCCTTCCAGTCCCTTATTTTTAATAAGAGCAAGGTATATTACCAGTCAGGTGTTGTTCAGTAGTAAAGCACTGTCCAGCATGTCTAAGGTCCTGGTTTTAACTTTTAATTACTAGTACACCAGCTCCGCACACACAGACAGACACATTCACCATTGATCTCTCTCCCCGCCCCCTCTGTAAAAGAGTAGGATTTTGACTCCCAAGTGCTGAGATTAAAAGCATGTGTGTGCCCTTACCAGCTGGCAACAGCTTCACACACACACACACACACACACACACACACACACACACACACATATTTTCCCCTGCCCTGGAACTCAGATCCATCTGCCTTTTGCCCCTCCAGTAGTAGAATTTAAAGCCTACACCACCATGACTGGCTGATTTTATGGAGTGTCATATCCTGAGATGTTAGAGTGGCCCATGGCTAGTGATTTAGGACTTTGGCATCAAGGAAAGACCCAGGTTCAGTACCCTGATGCACTCTTCCTGGCAGAATCCCTTGGACAAGATAATGTGTTTGTTTTACTGGTAGAAGTCTATGGTGTATGGGGTTACATTTTCCTTATTGGTAAAATGTGTATCTCGGGGGAGTTAAATAGATGACTTATGGAAAGTGCCTTTCACAGAGAGACTGGCACATAGTAGGTGCTCCATCACTATTACTTCTTCTGGCGCCTGCCAGAAGTAACAGGAATCAGGGCAGTAGGACTTAGAAGCCTTGCTGCTACTAATAAAAGAAATAATGTGATTTATTTTTTCAGTGCTATTTGGAGAAAGGCGTGTGCTTCATAAATATGTATTGGAAAGTACTTAGCAAATGAGTAGAAATAATAAAAATTTGTCAAAGGAAACAGCTCCTATAAATATGTCACTTGGTAGACAAATTAGTGTTTTATTACTACTAAATACTATTGCTCGCCGAAAAGGATTTCAGATTACTCGCACAATGGGTACATTATTGAATGCCTCTGCGGAAGGGCACGATAAAGATGAAAAATTGTGATGGTGATAACGCCTAAGGTGGAGAAAGGAGGGGTGTGGGTGAAGGAGCTCTGAGGCCTCGCTCCAGTGGTCTGCGCATTATTTAGCAGCACTTGGATGATTTAGCCATAATAATGGACCACAGGGCCCCGAGAAAAGGATTTCTGTCGGATGCCAAGAATTCAGGCCCTGATTATTGGGTCCGACTGAGGGTCGGGGGTGCGGGGTAAGTGCACTTCCTTGCAGAACAGGGCACCCTGTGAGTTAAGTTGACCAAAACAAACAAACAAACAAACAAACAATCCCAGGTCTAGATCTCTTCTCACTTCCGTTTTGGACCTATTACATGTCTGTGTCTATAATTCATATCCAGAGACGGTGTTGTGAAGAACGTGCGACTCCAGCGTGGCGCTCAGACCCATTTCAGAAACATGAGAGGGTGGCCAGTGTTGGCGGGTCAAAGGTACAAGAACCAGAGAGGGAAGGGAGCCGATGATACACACCTCTGTGGAGGAAAAAGCCGGAGAGAAGTAGAGACCATAGGGAACTGCGGCAAAGCGAAACTGCAGAATTAGGCAGGCAGGAGAAAGGGGCAAGGCCTGGATATCCAATTCAGGTGCCGGGGTCCCTAGAAGCCGGAGCTCCCTATACACTTCAGGTTGGAGAAAGAAACAGTTTTGCATCCCGGCTCTGCTTTTCTCTGTGTGGAAGCTCGAAAATTACTTAAAATGTAGATCCTTGTTGATAACAAGCAAATAACAGTACAGAGCTTGCTGGGGTGTTCTGAGAACTGGAAATAGCAAAGGGCTTATAAGGTGACAGACTGATACGGATACACATGTTTTAGCTTCAGTTCCCTTCTGATAGTCCTCATTTTAAAATACAAGGGGTAGCACTGTGGTAGATAGAGCACTTGCCTAGTATGTACAAAAATCCCAAGCACCAAAATATTGAATAAATAAAAATACAGATTGCTCAGGAAAACTCTGAGAGGTCTTTGATAGGGACCTGAGGCATAAGAAAATGATGTCACTATACACTAGCCTGAAGAATTAGCATTTATATGACGTCCGTGACTAGGCATCTTCTTAGAGCACTGGCTAATGATCCCCTATGCTACCCCGGTGTTTTATGCTTTACTAAGGCCTTTGTGCATTATCTCATTTAATGTGCGGGCCCAACCTGCCTTTCTGGGATGGGGAAGAATTTGGAAAGGTTAAGTGCCTGCCGAAAGGTGCACAGGTGATGAACGATGGCTGGGTGGTTTCTTAGCAGTCGTTTTCATTGTACTGCAACCTTTCTCAGCTGTGTCCTCACCTTTCTTTTTTGTTTTGTTTTTTTGTTTTTGTTTTTTTTCGAGACAGGGTTTCTCTGTGTAGCCCTGGCTGTCCTGGCACTCACTCTGTAGACCAGGCTGGCCTCGAACTGAGAAATCTGCCTGCCTCTGCCTCCCAAGTGCTGGGATTAACGGCGTGCGCCACCACCGCCCTGTCCTCACCTTTCTTACGTGAAAGTAGCTTATCCAAGGAGGAAAACACAGGTTATGACGCACATGAAATCAAGGGTTCAATATTCAAACTTTACTATAAAGCTAGTTGGTGATCTTAAGGGTTTTTGCTCAAGGTCACCACATATGGGATTGGTTGGCTCAGCCGAGACTGTGGACTCCACGACTAGCCGGGCTCCCGCCGGCCCTGCAGACGAGCCCGGGCTCCGACAGAGGGCGCTCGCGGAGGCTTGCACTCTAGACCGCCGCGTGCCCGATTCCTCTCTATGGTGGCGCGGGCGCGGCGGAGCGGGGCGCGCTCCCGTGGGGGTGGAGTAGAGGGCGGGGCCTCACGCGGGGAGGGCGGGGTCGCACGCAGGACGGGCGGGCGGGGCCCACGCCGAGCCGCGGGGGAACTGGGTTAGTGGGGGTGGACTTCCTGGGGCCGCCCGTGATAATGTGGTTCGGGCACCCGGGCGCCCCTCAGCCGCGGAGTTGCGGCGGCCGCCGACCCCGCAGCCCCGCTGCCTGAGTAGCCGCGATCGGGATCTGGCCTCTGCCGTCCCAGGTGTGGTTCGGCGGCGTCCGCGGCAGGTGAGGAGGCGGTGGCTGTGGCGGGTTGGGCTGGAGGACCGGGTGCTCCAGGCTGTGCTCCGGGGGGGTATGAGGATCCAGCTGCGCTCCGAGAGTGGGGCAGCCTCTTCCAGGAACTCCCCACCGCCAGGTCACCCCACACCTGTCCCATTGAAAGTGCCGCAAAGCATTTTGCCTGTGTGCGGGACGTGTGTCCTCAACTTGTACCCAAGTGTCGTAAGAGCTCGGTAGGTACTGGGGAAGGATGCATTTCTGTAGGACAGAAAACTTGTCTACAGAGGCAGAGCTTTGGCGGCACTGGGTCTCTTCCTACAGGAGGACCCTGGAGATTCGGAGTTTGGAGATGGGAAGTTTGGGATGCTGCTCTCCCCTCCTCCCTGCCAGAATCTGCTGTCTGCCTCTTGGGAGTCGACCTCTGTCCCCGAGGTGTGTTAGGTCGCCACTGTGTGGTCCTGGCCGAGACTCAGAGGGAAGTGGGGCCCCTCTCCAGCTGGCTGTCCAGGAGACATTTGACCGGGCATGGGGAAGTCTGGGTAGATCAGGGGAGCCCGCAGCCTTTCCTGGCATCTGTATGTTCAGAGCTTGATTTGAGACTGGTAGAAAAAAAACAAAACAGCGTAATTACTCCTTTTTCTTTAAGGCTGTCATTTGGGGGGAGGAGGGGATTGGGGTGTGCTGTTGTGTAATCGAGGAAGAGTTCCACATTCCTCTCAGTCCACCATGGGGGAAAATTATTCTTAGCTCGGAAATGGGGTTTTCCCCACTCACACTCTGTATCCTGGTTAAAGGCCAGAGTGACGCATGAACAAACACCCCGGGATACATGTGGCCTTCTAAGAAAGTAGTAAACTCCTTATGCCTTATATATGTTTTGGCTGGTGGTTTGGAGAACCGAGAGACTTCCTGTCCCCACTTTTGAGAGCCGTATGGTGGTTCTTGCCGTGACAGTTCAGTGTACTGAAATGTGGGCAAGGCTGTTCGAATATTGTGGCGTTTTTCTAGGAATGGGAGGGGGCTTCGTCCTGGGCCCAGTTCGTAGAGTTCTAAGACTGAAGCTGGCCATATTTCCTTTTTGGCAACTTCTTTATCCTTCCCTCCTGCCCCTCCTCCCCATTCTTTCGAATGCTAAGAAATAGATGGTGGCCAGTGTTTGTGAAACTTTGCATATTTGCTAATTCTGGATTCCAGAGTACAGTTAAAAAGTTGTGGTTTGTTGGAGGACAGTAGCAGATTGATGTGGCAGGGCTAATTAATAACTTGATGGTGTTCGATGTCTGTGTAATAGAGGACACACACTCACCTTAATGTTTAATCGCAGAGCCCAGGACATTAAAACTTATATTGATAAGCTGTTATCCTGTTTGTTTACATTGGGATCCAGGGTTGTAAATTCACCAGATTGACCAATTTAACCAACTGCTAAAAGAAAGACAAAAGGAGAAAGATGTTCTCAGAAAGCTTAAGAGTTTTCAAACTTTCTATCCACCAAGCCTATTGACCTAAGTATTTAGTGCCGTCTAATAGAAATGCCTCTTAAAGGGATTTTCATTGACAAGTTTAACAAGTAGCAACATTAACAAAAGGAGTTTCTTTTCGAATTACAGGAGCCTTGTGAAGTTTAATGCAGCCACATCAGGTTGTATGGGCCACACCTGCTACTTTCTGACGTCATCTACATAAACCTGAGGAATGTTGGGGAGGGAGCTAGGTACACTGGGTTTTATTCCTATCATAGAGCCTTTAATACTGCTGTTATTTTAATGGGAGATTAGGGACTTTTATCGCCAAACTTGTGTTGGTAATATGTTTATGTTTGGGGAGGAGAGAAAGATTAACTGCCACACCTGACAGTCTGTCTCTGTAGTTTAGAGTTGGAGCATCAGTCAGTTTGATGAGACTAGATCGTTTACATTGCTGCTAGTGAAGTCTCAAGGGAGGGGCTGCTTTGCTTGCTTGTTTTGGAATTGATTACTTGTTGATGGCTACTGGTTCTTAGCACTGTGCTGGGGGGTGGTGGTGGGAAGGGGTGGAGCTGCTACAACCATAGCACCTTGGCTATTTTAATTACCTGACAGCTATGATTTTGGCAATTGAAAGGGCGCTCTTTCCATATGCAGACCCAGACTTTCATTCTTTAATGGGGAATGCCCCGGTTACTTTCTCTTTTTGTGACTTTATGTTAGCCATGGAATTTTAAAAACCTAAAACCTGAGAGTTGGGCTCTCAGGTCTCATAAATGCCATCTCAAATAGGTAAATGACCTCTTGTGTAGCCTGTAGTTCTCTCTGTCCCCGGGACTTAACAGTTGCTATGCACTGGACAGTGATCACATCTAATTCTGTTAAGCTGGTCTTAGTCTAAACCCATTATCTTCTCTCTCCCTTAAGATGGTCATGAAGTGTTTCTCCTTTGTGTTTCGTATTCAGGTTGATTAGTCCACATTTTTGGAGCCCCCGTTTAAAACTGAAGCAGAGCTGAGCAGTTCGTTAAGAGTTCTGCATGTTTTTAGAACATTTCCCTTTTACAAAGCAAGCATAAAGTCTGGATTTCTTCTGGGAGAAACCCAGCTCTTTGAATCTGATAGTAAAACAAAAGCTGGTCTTTCCAGCTTTCTGGCATTAGGAAATCTGTGGTAAACTTTTCCTTACTTTCTGATTTTTCCAGTACGGTGACTAGTCAGTAGTGATGAATGTTGACCCAGGGGCATTGGGAGATCCTGAAGTCTCCTGTGTCATCAAAGGGAGGACACATTATATTCAGTGTGTAGCTTTCACCCTGGCTTTTAGTAAGGAGTTTCCAGAGGCCAGCCACTTCTTGCGCGGTTCTGTTTGTAACCCAGGCATTCTTGAAAAATGCTGACCTTAGGGCCCCACCTCCTGGAGGTTTTGATTCATTCATTCGATGATGACCTACATTTTGAAAGCATCCATTTCCAAAAGGCTCTCCAGTTGCTTCTGAGGTGCAGTGCAGCCTAACTTGGGAATCACAGTTGTATTGCATTGACATATATATATATATGTATTTGTTAAGTATATAAATATATGCAATAAAAATGTATCATCTGTACCTCAAGTCAGTATGGAACTTTGAACATTGGAGTTGATGCCTCTGCTTTGTGTGTGTGTGTGTGTGTGTGGTGTTTTGAGACCGGGTTTTTCTGTGTAGTCCTGGCTATCCTGGAACTCTGTAGGCTGACAGACTAGCCTTCAACAGAGAGTTAGTTCCACCTGCCTCTGCCTCCTGCGTGCTCCACCACAGCCCAGCTTTTCTTAAAATCTTGAAAATCGAAAGGGGATACACTGAATTCTTTATAAACTGGCAGTGTCTCTGATAACATCGTGATGTTAGGGATGTTTGGTTTGCTAGAATAGCCCATCTCCTAGCTGTGACAGATTAACAAAAGGCTTTTATGACTTTTATGTTCATTGCTTCACAGCAAGGCCCCTCTGCTGTATTATCTACTGGGAGTCATGAGGGAGGGTATTTGGTGAAAGTAGCTTTCTTTATCCCCTGAGTGGACAAATGAATAATGTAGAAAGGACTGGAGGTTTGACTAGGTAGTGGATGTCGTTATGATCAGTGTGGGATGGGAGAAATGCCTGGGATTTTCTGTGTACCATTTTAAAATAAAACCAATATGCTAGCTGTTTAGTTTCTCATAGCTGAAGCCCTTATTGAAATTAATAGGTGCTTAATAAATCATCAGAAAGTTTTAGTCACGGGTTCTTTGCTTAGTTCATGAAAAGAAGAAAAGTTGCTCAAGTCCAGGAGGATCTAAGTTAAAACAGAATTAGGCACTAGATATATTAGGGAAATAAGAATTTAAGAAACAGACTAACCTAGTTTTGAAACCCAGCTTTTCACTTCCTGGCTGCATGGGTTTAGGCAAATTACTGAACCTCTGTGAGCCTGGTTTTTTTTCTTTTCTCCTTCCTTTCTTTCATTCATTCGTTCATCTTGAGACAGGGTTTCTCTGTGTAGCCCTGGCTGTCCTGGAACTCACTCTGTAGACCAGGCTGCCCTCGAACTCAGAAATCCACTTGCCTCTGTCTCCTAAGCACTGGGATTAAAGGCCTGTGCCATGACCACTCAGCTGAGCTATTTTTTTTTCCTTAATCTACAAAAATGAAAACATCTGGTAGGATTGTTCTGTGGATTAAAAGATGGGAAATATTCATATGAAGATTAAAAGAGAAAATATGCTCTTTGTATATTGAGGCAGCTACTTTAAATGACCTTTTAGTTTATCGAACTCTTAGTATACTTTTTTTTTTGGTTTTGGTTTTGGTTTTTCGAGCCAGGGTTTCTCTTTATAGTCCTGGCTGTCCTTGAACTCACTCTGTAGACCAGACTGGCCTCCAACTCTGAAATCTGCCTGCCTCTGCCTCCCAAGTGCTGGGATTAAAGACGTGCACCACCACTGCCTGGCAAAATACAGCCTTTTGTGTATAGTTTTCTGGGTTTTTTTGCTAGTGCCATGACTAGTTCGTAAAGGTGAGTGTTGGCCCAGTGGCATTGGGAGATCCTGAAGTCTCTGTGTCATTGAAGGAACATCATGTTATGTTCCATATTCCACAGCGCTTTCACCTGGTAGCTTGCTTATTGTAGGAAGGTCCCAGAAGGCAGCCATTCCTTGAGAATTCATTGGATTCCACTTCAGATTTTTTTTTCCTTTTTTTTGGTTTTTCGAGACAGGATTTCTCTGTATAGCCTGGGCTGTCCTGGAACTCACTCTGTAGACCAGGCTAGCCTCGAACTCAGAAATCCGCCTGCCTCTGCCTCTCAAGTGCTGGGATTAAAGGCGTGCACCACCACCGCCTGGTTTTCCACTTCAGATTTTAAAATGTTAAGAAAACTGAGGAGTGAATCCGAGTTTTCACAGTTCCATAGCACTTGATGTAAAGACGATAACATCATTTTTTGTGCATATTATGTATGCTTATGTCATAATTACATATAGTCATACTAATGAAATACAACAATGGCTCCCAAGCTAGACT